CTTTTAACTCCATAGGAAGCCAGGACTGGAGCATTTTTCAGAACATGGGGCAACATAGGCTCTGCTTTAAAATGCTCTGTATTAAATAATTTCTCTACTGAATGAGCTGTTCTGTAAAACTATTAATTCCGTTTCATTCAATAAACTTTACTAAATTGCATAAATATAGCCTGGCATCACTAACTTACGGCCATTATTGAAGAAGAAGGAAACCCAGCACACATCACATGGTTTTAGCCAAAGATAAACTCAAGGGTACTTGGCAATTTTGGATAAATAGTTGTGCAAATTATTTTTTGATTTTTAAATAGACATGTTGCCCTTAACATTACTGTTGGAAGAACAAAAGCAAATGAAAACTTATAATGCCTGATCAAAGTGTTCGACCCAAAAATGAATGATTTAATACAAATCAGTGGCCTCCCTTCTGATTCTTGGGTTATCAGTCACAAGAAGTCATTCCATCAACACAAAGTGTGTGCATACGCTATTTGGAAAGATCAGGATGGGAGGATCTCTATTGTGCACAGAAAAATATAAAATTGTACTTTCTTTTGATCCTTTATCCTATGGTTAGCAGAAAATGCCCACTGATCGGTTCATGTGATGTAGTGGACAGGTGCCAGGGACCATGTAGAAAGTAAGTGTGCAGAACTTAAGAATTCTGGGTTTCGGAAGAAGGCAGTTTCCAGCACTGCCAAACCTGAACATATACAGCACAAGTAACAGCACGACAGCACAGACCCATTATTGTAAGGGGCTTCTTATTTCAGAATTTAAGGTGCTGGGGACACACGTTGACAGAGGAGTCCACTGCATGGCCAGGAAGACAAAGCAGACACTGAGGAAAGAGGGGAAGAAGAGCCGACAGGGCTGAGGCATGAGGCATGAGCGCAGGGCTGCCAGGTGACCCTTCGGGAAGGGACCAGCAAGTGACAGGGATTATTTGTGTTCCTGCAATTCAGTGCGGAGTGGAGGGGAGAGCTCCTCCCTCTGCACCGCCCCCGCCCCGCCCCTGCCCCTGCCCCAGGCAGTAAAGCTGCTGTAAGAACGCAGAGAAACACTGTTCGAGGCATGGCCGGAGTCCTCCATGGCTGGGCGGAAGAGCTCAACAGAGATAGGCTGGCGCAGTCAACTTCCTGAGTGTTTCTCCAATGCAAAGAGCTGTCTGGGTTTTAGGAAGAAGAAAAGTCAAGTCTCAAAAATGTTGTACAAAATATAGTATCTAAAAGTCCTCAGCGACCCGCGCTGCAGAGAGGTATAACTGAACTCTGTGTGGACCCCATTCAAAACCACTCAAGGGCTGCCACCTTCCACCCAGAGGTGAATGCCTCGCATGTCCATGGACCTCAAGATCGCTCTCCATAAGGACTCTCAAGAAATATGTTCCGCTTACAAAAGCTCTTCAGGTTAAAGTTATTTTTTTTTGCAAATGCAAAATAAGAATTATTGTCCTCCTCATCATTTTGATTGTTCTGGGCCTGTGAATGGCTTTTGCATCTGGTGGCGCTCGGGTTTTACCCCAGCAGGGCAGCTGGGTTGAAGTCTAAATTCCTAAAGCAATACTGTAATACTGAGAGCGGAGTGACGTCCAAGAGGGATAATGACTTCCTGATGAATTGAGCAGCTCCTCCGTGGGAAGAGGAGAAACGCCGAACCTGGAACCTAGTGCCAGCTCCCTGCTAACCCTGGGCTGGAGGTGCATTTAAATGGCTGCGGGCAGTTCTGGCTGCTTCTGCCTGCACTTGAATGGAAAGAACCTCTGCAGGCTGAGGAGCTTAACAATTTGAAAGGGGTGTGTGAGTGTGTATGTGTGTGTGTGTGTGTCTCTCTCTCTCTCTCTCTCTCTCTATATATATAGCTAAAAATTAAGTTGAAATACTATTTTCTAAATACCTTCCACAACATAAGTGGCCTGTATCGTCTTTCAAGACAGAGTATCAGTTTATTTCAAATTTAGAGATACTGGCCTCGATTCAAATTCATGGCAGTTATAGAAACCAATGTTCCGTGCCTTGATTCAGGTGGCAAGCATTAAATCTTTTCCCGGCTGTCATGCAACAACAACTTTAATACAAATTAGCACTGCCAAACTCAGTTTCCTGGGCTCAGAGGTCCTTGATGCTACTCTGTGAATTTGATTCCGACTTCCACACGAACTGTGTGCTCTTTGGAGAAGGTAGTACCCCAGAAGAAAACCCTAAACAAAATACAATTCAATTATTCCCACTTCAGGATTCTACTTCACAACACACTACAAGAAAAAAAGGGGTAGCCCTCTTTTTGCCATTTTGATTAATGGGAAACTTAGTCATTGCTTCTTACAGGAGAATGCTCTTAAATGCAAATTCCATTTTCGAAACTGCAATTCTTCCTTCAAGCTGTTTACGCGGAATAGAGAGCTGTCAATCAATACTAACACAAAATATAATGCTCGTGTTAGACTCTCATGGTCTCAGGGTCAAACCTTCTTTCCCAAGCTCGCAACCCTAGGAACGACAGACCGAAATGAACGAGCCGTCTCTTCTCACTGGATGGGAAAACCCAATTAACTGTGAACTCGATGCTCCAAACAATTTTGGGATAACTTCCAGCAAGGGAAGCTCTGTCAGAGGAACAACATTTCAAACTAGGAATGGATCCTTCTTGGATCTTAAATTGGTTTTTAATTAAGATACCCTAGGGGGAAACAGAGCGATAGAGAAATTGGTGCGGGCTTCAAGGTCTCGGGTATGTGATATATTCAAAACCAGGATGCTCTGGCAAAGCTGGAACACTCACCCCCACTCTATCGAGCTGCCTTAGACAGGACCTCCAGGTCATTTCTTCTCTTTGCTTTGCTTTTTAAGAAATTTTTTGACAAGTCAATTGCTATGATGCTAAAACAAAATGGACCTCCTAATTTAGTAGCTGCCTGAATTTAATAACCACTTCAAAATTCCCACACAGGCAAGGGACACTCACCAAAAACTCATGGCCAATGGTAGTCATGCAGTTTTATTCTTTCTTGAGCTTAGAGAGTCAGAGTTCACTGTTTAGACTGATCATCATAAGAAAAAAGGGGGCAAGGCTGAAATTATTAAAAATCAAAGAGCAGTGTGGGCCAAATATCTATTCTGCATTGATGCATTTAAGCTTCTCCAAAGGGCAAATTGGGACTCTGCTACATTGCAGCTCTCAGGCTCAAAGCAAGATGTCGTAATAATGGTCCCTGCAGGCATGCAGCCACGTACATGGGCTCAGGACTGAAGAGTACAGGACAGGGGTACAGACATTGCTATTACGGCTTATGTGACCTTAAGGACCCCACTGGCCTGACTGTTCCGAATTGTCAGATGAAAGCAGTGGTGCCTCAGGGACTTTTGCCAGAATTAACTGACGCAAAGTGTCCAATACTGATGGGGCTGAAACAAAAGCACAGTTTAGATCCACTTTTCGGGTCCCAAACGCCCCCTCCAGCCCCCTCCATGGGGAAATTTCCCAACCCCCTGCATTCGTCCTCAGAACCAGCCTATGAAATCCTAGGCTGTGCAAGCAGCCAGGCTCTGGGTCTCACATCGACTGATCGAGGGTCCCTCTCAGGTTTACTCCTGAATAAACCTGTCTGTGCTGTTGAGTTCGTGTCCCGCTTCGTCTCCTTCTTCCCTGAAAAATCCAGTGACACATGACACACACTAAATCCCTGTTAGTCCTGAATCTTAAACTTCATAGCCATCCACGAAGTGGGCATTCGTATCTCTGCTTTACAGAGTAAGAGAGAGAGAGCTCAATGCGTGTTTTTGAAGGCATGCTGGTTTTAAGTGGCAGGAGCCTGGAGTTATTTTTCGAACAAACAGCAATAAGTAGAATAATAATAGTAACAGAAAACTTGCAGTGTGTGCTTCTAACGTGGCAGGCACTACACTATGCTTTTTAAGATATTATCCAGTGTAACCTCTTAAGGACTCTAGGGATATTCATACTATCATCCCCACGTCATAGATAAGGAGAACTGAGGCTTGGAATCACTGAGGAATTTTCAATCACTCAACTACTTTTTGAGTCTTGAGAATGTGCTAGGCTTAGGGGACACAAACACAAGAGGACAGATGGAATTCCTGACCTCTCAATTAAAAAAAAAAATCTCACCTAGCCAGTCTTGAATGGTTGACACCTTACAGCCTGAGGATAGCCTAAAACTGAATATAGTCATTATCTGACGCTTTGTCTTAAAGGGGAAAAATTCCCAACCAACCCACTGAAGGTCGCTTCTCACTAACCCATCCAGTGTGTCTTCTGCACACAAAGCAGCTGTCATTTCCGTTGTACAGAACATGGAGATGGAGAAATGTTAACAGCCGCACATTTCGGGACTGAAAAATTTCTGAAGTGAAACAGAATGCTTCTAAGGGAAGGGAGCCGAGACACCTCCTGAGCCCCTCCCCTGGCAGAGACCCGTCTACCTCCCTGAAGAGTCTGGATGGCCCTCGCCGCACCTGCTCCCCAGGTGCAGAGCCACAGTGAGCTGCTAAGATTGACAGGTGCCTTCCCAATGGCTTGGCTTCCGAAGAAGCTCTGCAGAGTTGCAACATGCGGCCGGGCTCTGGGGGCTCCGTTCACATACAAGAAATAGTGCCCTGAAAGTCACACAGGCCTGGCCATGCCCCTCTGGGCTAGGGCAGGCATGTTTGTGTCTCCCCAGAGTGGTCTGTCCCCGCCCCAGCTTCCACCCTTGCCAGAAAGCACCAGGTCACATCCTGTGAGCAGATCACCAGACACCCTGCTGAGGAAGGGCGCCTTTGACACCTGCAGTCCTGCCTCAGCCCGGCTGAGGGACAAGACAAGTGGTTCACCTCCCCAGGTCGCCAGTTCTCAACTGCAAAATGGGATACCAACAACAGGACCCACCTCAAAGAGTTATTGCAAAAATTAAATGAGATGATTCAGGGCCCCTCCCCCAGTGCCTGGCACATGTGGGCTCAGTAAATATTCGTGGTTGGCTGTTTTTAGTATCACTTTACCTCCAATGTTGCCAGTCCTTCCAACTCTCCCAGACCAGTGCAACAAGGCTGAGAATTACCAAGAAGGAAAACAAAGCACAAGTATCAGAAATGAACCTTTTAAATGAGAAACCAAAATAGAGCTCAGAGTTTCGGACACTGCCTGTACTATATGGCTATGAGATTGACAATACACTCAGAAACTGCTGAAGTCTCCGAAACCAGCAACTTGATGTGTGTTTCCCCCTTGATTGACAATTCAACTGAATGGATCAGTTATGTGTGTGTGTGTGTGTGTGTCAGGCAAAACTTCTAAGTAATAATGGCTTTATGGCTAGAAATACTGACTGAAGAAATTGGATTAAAAGGCATGTAATCTTTGGTTGGAGACCAAGTCTGTTTTAAAGAACAAAAATTATAGGAAGCAAAAACTTAATGGTTAAACCTCTGCCTGTGATGCCGGCATCCCACACGAGCACCAGTTTGAGTCCCAGCTGCTCCACTTCCAATCCAGCTCCCTGCTAATGAGCCTGGGAAAATAGCAGAAAGATGGCCCAAGTGCTTGGGCCCCTACCACTCATGTGGGAGACCCAGATGGAGTTCCAGACACATGGTTTCAGGCTGGCCTAGCCTTGGCCACTGCAACCAGAGGATGTGTCCCCCCCCACACACACTCCTTCCTTCTCCCTCTCTCTCTGTGATTCTGCCTTTCAATGAACAAAAAAAAAAAAACAACTTTAAAACCAAAAAAACAAGGGTTGAAGGATGAAAGCTGAACTAATGGGACTATATTCATAATTATGGTGACAAACTAGTGTTTTTAGTTGTAATTTAAAAATACATTTTAAAATATACTGTTGTGACGTGAAAATAGCACATTTTTCTTTCTTGAATATACATACTTTAAAAGACGGTTTTTCTGAACAGAGGAGAAGGAGTTGAATAGATATTGAAGGTCATAGAGCAGTATAGTCTAGAAAATCCACTTTTACTAAAATCCCTCCAGAGTGGCTGAGCCACTGTGGCGGAAAGGTGAGCCCCACTACCGGCTAAGGAGAGGCCAGAACCAGACCAGCTGAAGTCGCCTTGCTTCTGTTCTGATTTCTCAGTAGGGCTTTCTCCAAATAAAGTTATCAGATCAGATCAGTGACCTTAGTACACAAACATTTCTACCTGACATCAGTTACAAAGCCCTTCCTTCCTCTGAATCTTCTGCTATTCTCTGTGTATTTATATACTAATAAAAAATCACTGACTGATGTCAATATCTAAGTGAAAAACAATTAAGGAACAATAAACTCCTGCGAAGAGCTAGGCAGTGGTATGGATTTTGGCCTTGTAAATCGTTTAAAACCCTGATCTCCAAACTTCTGTGATTGTGCACCACTAAAACATCTTCTAGAACAGGTATTCTAGAAGAACATGGCCTGCTGTATTCCTAAATTATAAATTAAATATGTGCAACAGTAATAATACAATAGAGCACATACATTACAAAACCTGAAGTGACCATGGCCCAGGTGGAATACTTCTTGACTGACTGACTGGTTGACTTGACTTGAAAGGTACAGAGATACAGAGAGAAAGATAGAGAGATCTTCCATCTACTAGTTTACTCACCAAATGCCCGCACAGCTATGGCTAGGCCTGGCCAAAGCCAGGAGCCTGGACCTCCCGCCAGGTCTCCCACACCGGTGGCAGGAACCCAAGCACTTGAGCTATCAGCGGCTGCCTCCAAGGGTGTGCATCAGCATGAAGCTGGAGTCTGAGGTGTAGCCCGCACCTGAATCTAGTCACTCTGATATACAAAGTGGGTGTCCCAAGTAGCAACTTAACCACTGCACCAACCGCCTACCCCACACATCCCATCTGGACAGTCCTTGATTTTTGAGCAGGTGAGATATACAGAGAGCTGGCGTAAGAGCCGTCATTTTAGTTGCCCTCACCAACCTCACTCACCGTCAGCATGAGCTTCTCCGAGTGGAGTCTGCAGTCCACCTGCATCAGAACTGTCTGGAGAAACATAAACTCCCAGTCTCCACTTTTGCCCTGCTTGGTAACTCAGTAGGTCTATACCTGTGCATGCCTATCAAGCTCCCCACAGCACTTGTATGAATGCTGATGTTTGAAAGCCACTGATAAATACCAATCCCCAGATGTTAACTGCCTTTGTTCCTCCTCGGTGTGGCCCTAAGGAGACTGAAAGATGAAAAAGTCTAGGCAAAGTCAGGGTGGTCCAACAACAACACACACCAAGTAGGAAAATCACTTTAGGAGGTAGAGATGCTGTAAACAACACAGAGCTGTTTGTTGCTTTGCTTTATGAACCACATGAGCTATCAGTCTTCCATGATCGACTGCACTTTTTGGTCTTCCTGTTCTGCAAAGAACTTCACATTTCTCCACTAAAAAAATTTGTAAACACAAAAATAAAAACAGATGTAATACCAATTTAACAAGAAATTGTGAGCACCTTTTGGCTCCATCACACTGGCCTAATGACTTGAAGACAGTAAAGATGCTCTTTTATCAATCTCCTCTGTTGATAAAAATCAACAAAGGTGACCATGACCATTTGAGAAAAAACAGAGCAAGGTCTTTCTAGAAATTTAAAGGAAAAAACAAATATACGTCCTCAAACACAGGCAAGCAATCACCCAACCGTTAATAAAAGTTTTCTAGGCTAGGGTTATTAAAAGAATAGAAATGAAGGTGAAGGTTTCCTTATTGAGATTTTCCCATCCAATAGGAGTGGTGAGGATTCAAATGCTTAGTCTTATGTCCTATTTTTGTTACCGTTGAACAGTGGAAAAACTATTCCACCAACAGCATCGACTAACATAGGCAAATCTAAAGATCATGATTGATTACCTGCTACATTCTGACAGATTACTTTATTGATCACTCTTTCTATATATATCCTCATTAGTAACACTAAAGAAAATCTTGTTTAGTTTGTTCTTTTGTTTATGTTTGATTTTTTTAATACCTTTCCAGTATGGTAATGATGACACCATGGTAATCACTGGCAGCAGGTGGCACCAGTCTGGCCAATGAGATGCAAGCAGAAGTCAACTTGGGGCTTCTGGGTAAACCTTTGCTTTTCTGATAAAAAGGCATGACAGTGGCTGTACCTGCGCTTACACTCACCCTTCCTGCCTTGAGAGCAGACAGAATGGACCTAGGGTAACCAGAGGGGCATAAAAAAAAAAGGCAAGGGAACCCAGGGAGACATCAGCTTTGCCTTTACTTGGGTAGTAAACCAACACGCCTACTTCAATATTTCTAGCTATGAGGGGGGAAAATTAACTAACTTTTGTATAAGCCACTGCTGGCCGTTTCTTCTGCATACAGCAGTGCAAAGCATCCCTCGCTGATATGCAAGTCTTCCCTCAGTGTTCACAGCAGATTGGTTTCAAGATTCCCCTCAGATAGATGCCTAAGTCCCTTATACAAAATGGCACTCTATTTGCATAGAGCCCACCCACAGCCTCCCATGTACTTTAGTTCATCTCTAGATTACTTATAAACCCTAACACAATATGCATACATATAAGTAGTTGTGTCATTTAAAAAATAATGACATGGAGGAAAACTATAAATGGCCACCACAGATGCAGGTTTTTTCTGAATATTTCTGATGAGTAGTTGGTTCCTGTGACTACAGACAGCTAGCTCTACTTCCTTTTCTTTGCCACACTTCCAAATTCAAGACCAAATATCACCAAACAAATGAATCATTCTTACCTGCTGGCCTACTACAGCACTTTATCTGTACCTAAGTATTAGCTCTCATCATGTTTTCCTGTGTTTCTTATCATCCCTGTCCCAGTGGAAAACAAACTCCTTGAGGGAGCAAGTCCTATTTCATGCCTCTTGGTTCCCATAGAGAGCTTAGAACACTAACAATCAATTAAATATTCACTGAATGAACTGATAATCCAGGGGACCTCCTTTTTCACTTAGATGACAACAATCAAACCCAAAACCTCCTACCATGAATGGCCCCTGTGTAGATTCTGTTTTTACACTGAACACCTACAATGTTCAAGACAATGTATTATATGCCAAAGGAACAGAAACCATTCAATATAGTTCTGCATTGAACTGATTTATATGAAATGAAAATTTTAGGTAGAAAATAAATATATTCACTTAAGTTTTACCCTCTGGCTATTTCAGGTATCAGCACTTAATCTGGGTATTCTTATAGTGGAAATGACATTTTAAATTCAAAATATACTTCTAGTACTATAAACAGATTTTCATGTACAAGCAATTCCAAACTTACAAACAAATGAAATTCTAAAAGTACATTTTTATATGAAAGTTGGACCCCCTTTTTTTTTTTTTCGAGCAAATGACTTTCTAGATTGTGGTTAGGCGTCTGATCAGTCCCAGATGCCTGTTTAACCTTAACGCAGCAGAATCATGGAGCATGTATTACCAGAATGAATACCAAGTCAGTGAAAGAGGAAAATACAGACAAAAAATTTTTTAAAAAGAGATATGAACCCCATTCTACCCCACTCCTTGTTTGGGTTTGGGATTTGGAGTTAGCTCAAGACAAAACTTCAGACAGATGCATGTGTCCTTAGAATGTTTTTTTATTATTATTATTATTTAGAAACTTCTCTTTCCCAGATATTTGTTGAAGTCTTTATCACCACAGAAGGGTGTGCACAGAGCTGCTCCATCACCACCACCAGTGCCATTCTGTGTTCTATCCTAACACCCCAGCAAAACTCGCAGAACGTCAGATATAAGAAAGAAGGCAATGTTATCAAACTTGGGTGCAAGAACGTCTTCCAAAAGAATCTACCTTGTAAAAACACAAGTCAACCATCAAAATGAGGTGACTATTTTCAGTAGTTTGCCAGGGGGTAGGGATAGCACTTCCTTATAAGTAAACAGCCTGAAACTAGCTATAAGCTGCCCTACTCTCATACCACCATTTTCCACTCCTGAAGTCAACAGTTCTTAAAGATCCTGTCAAAAAAGTCTTTTGTTCAACAAAGAAATACAAAGCATCTACTATATGGCAAATTTTTTCTTTTCCCTTCTTTCCT